TATGATTCCTAATGACAGGCTTCAGGTTTCTCGTCTGCTTATGGATTTCAGGGGTGTGGAGTGACAGTTGCTCGCTTGGAGCTTACTGACCTCCTCCAGTCTGTGGGGTTTGGAGATGACTTCAGCCACCTCCCGCACACAGATGGGTTCCTGGGCTTCTCCTGAGCTGTGCAGGCTTCAGCAGCTCTCCAGGGAGTGCACTCCCATGGAGCAATCTGCTCATTCGTGGCCTTCAAGTCACAAACAAGCAATTTCCCTCCTCCAGCTCTACCCCTGCGAGCTAAGCGGAGGGGTACCCATGTCACTCTGTCAGAGCGTTGCTCCTTCTCGCCTGCGTTCACTTTGCTTTTCTAGCGATTCGTAAGCTGTGACTGGCAGACGGTTCAGTCGCTGCTGCTGTATGGCTGATTCCCTGTGATCCCCTGCCTGTGGCCATCTGTCACCTACCTATCTTAAACTCTCTGGTTTTAGAGGTGACTCAAAGATAAAAGTTTGTACCCCAGCACTGTGTCCCAGTTATGCCTTAAGCCTGTTGGCTGCCTCGCCGTGGGGTGGGGGTGCCTTCCTGGCCCCCAGGGAGGAGCAGTTTACGTGCCATGAGTCAAGAGGAGCAGGTCGGGAAGCGGGGCTGGCAATGGCAACAGGAAGCACTGGAACTTGCAGTGATCCCAAGCTGTTCCTGGAGGAATAGGTGTGATGATTTTGGGCTGGCTCATAGAAAAAGGCTGTCTGCCGAACCGATTTTTCCCCGGTGAGGAGTTTCACTGTGCTTGAGGGACGTGTGGTCTTTCAAGCACGTCCTTTGTTCCTGAGCCTAAGGCTTTCGTGGATACTTGGCCTTGCTGTGCTGGAAGGTAGCACCTATCCCTTGACCTTGACTTGTCATCTGCAAAGAAGTAATCTAAAAAAAAAACAGCTGGTATGTGACAGAGATGCACGCTGCTGAAGGGTGCTGGAACGCGCTGGGGGCCTCCTAGCCAGCACCAAGCTGTGCATTTTTGTCCTGCCACAGAAGAGTCCTGGCTTACACTGTTGGGTGGGTAACAGCAATTTTTCATCTTTTAAATGAAAGTCTGAATTTACCTTCTAGCAGCTTCAGCTCTACATTTAATCCTTTGATTCATTATTGATGTGAAGTCTGTGGATGGTGCGGTGGCCACCTGACTCCAGGTATCCGTTCACTCAGCTGGCACAATGCTGTGTTGAAATTACTCTGAGCTAAGCTGAGGGGGGTGATGACATCCTGCAAGGAGCTTCCTGAGGCTTGGGGGGCAGGAGCAAGGGTGCCAAGGCTGTCTTACGGGGATCATCGAAACAGGAGATGGGAGTTCTCAGAGGAAGCAGAGCTGAGGGCTGTGTTGGCTGTAGAAACTGATTTCTCTTGGCCCGAAAAACAGAAGATGGGGCTGCTAATGCTGCTTCCTGTTCCTAACCTGCTCAGGAGATAAACCAGGGATTTCAGACTCCAATCCATCACCTTCCCCCAGTAGTAAATACACGTGGCATTACTGAGTGATGTCATGGCTGGAGCACATCCCAGCAAGGCCAAGCCTGGATCAGGTTATATCTGTCTTCTCAGAATATTGGCTTACTCCCAAAGGAGCATATTGCCAGTCCAAGGGCAGTGACTGAAGCCACCTTTCCCAAGGTCATCTCTCGCACACACAGAGAGGACAGCACTCGCTTCCGCGTACGCAGCGCAGCCCGAGCCGCCCACGCCATGGCGGCTGCTGGCTGCACGTAGGGCAAAGCCTCTCGGTTCTCCTTTCTGGCATCACTTTGTGTTGGCACCAGCGAGGCAAAGATCCCCAGCCCTCCTTCCTGGTGCTTCATCATCTGGTTGCCTTTGAAGCACAGTACGAAAGGAGGAATAGGAATCACGTCAACCCCAGCTACACGGTGCGTCTGTAAATAAGCAGTCCTCATAGTTCCGTAGGGTTTTGTCACATCGAGGCTTGCATCTGCTGACTGGGAGCATCACAGGGAGAGCCCAGCTGCCCTACAGACCCGAAATGCTGCTTGTTTCAGTCGGTGAGCCCACCCAGACTCAGCTGGGTGGTCGTCTGTGCTGGAGTTTGGACCCATTCGGCTTTCATTGCCCTCCATCGTTAAATGGGTGCACATTTCTCTCCACTGAAGCTGGAGCAAAGCTGTAAGGCAGGCATAATGAAACCCATTTGGGTCTCTCTCAGGTCAGCCCGGCAAGTCAGTAAACTCCTGTCTAAGCAAACTGCACTGCTTCGCTTCTGATCGGGCTGCAATTCTATTTAAACGATGCAACTCTTTAAAAATAGATCAGGCCTAATTAGCAACAGATCTGATCAGAAAATGGAGGGAAGCGAGGTGTGACATCCCTTGAGTGAGGCAGAGGTAGGGATGTGTGTGGTGCTGGTACGCTGCAGGGGTGGGGGGCACTGGGGGACCCCACAGCCCCTTGGTTCCTGGTGCACTTTGCTGTATCCTGTGTTTCACCCCAGGAAACCCCGCACTTCTCTGCTCTGTGCCTAAGGTGGAGGGAGCCTCCCCCATCAGTCAGCACTTCTAAACAAGCAGTTTCCTCCTCCAAACACAGCTGGAGTGCAAATAACCCCTTGCCACGGATCTCTCTGCCAGATGGGTGAAGGTGTGACGCTCGTCTCTGTGACAGCCACCCACCCAAGCAGGGTGTCGTGCACGGGCTGGCACGGAGCAGAGGGCTTGTGCTCTGCCCATGTTTGTGCTGAGCTGGAACTTTCTCTGCTGTCCTTCCCTGGCCTAGTGACTTCGGGCCACCGCAGCTCCCACCCCACCTCTAGCTTTGTGCGCGCCCGTGTCAGACCTGGGCTCCTTGCAGCCTCGAAGGAGCCAGCACTGGGTTTTGCAGCCTCCAGCCTTGGCCAGACACAGGACAGAGATTCCTCCCCAGGCAGAGGAGGCGCAGGTAATCCTCCCTCTTTACAGACAGGGAGCTTGCCAGAAGAGCCCCCGTGGCCAGTGTGGAGTGGAGGTAGGTAGCCATGCAGGCCACACAGCATCTCCCCGCGCAGCTCGGCCTGTCCGGCCACGCCAGGTGGGATCCGTGGGGTGGAGGAGCCGCTGGTGCCTCCCCAGCGGCTGTCACATCCCCAGTGCAACACTGCAAGCTATGACCAGCCAATATGGATTAATTGCAACCAGTTTAATTGTGTGTCTGTAAATTAAGCTCTTTGACGATTAAGCCAGCGATACAAAGAGACTTCCAGGAGTGAGGAGGACATTAGCATGCTAATAGACCTTGCTGGTAGAAGGTTTACTTAGACACATCCCAGGGGGCAGATGACAATTAAAATCCTAAGAGACTCTTCTAGAAAGAGGATGCTAATTCAGACCTGCTGGGAAGGGAGATAATTATTACTATTTTATGTAGTCCTGCAACCACCCACTCAAGAATGCCTGAGATACTTTAGGACAGGTGAGCTGGGAGAACTAACAATAGTGACGATACCTAAAAGTTGCCCTGGAGCCACCTCAAGGGAGAGACATGGACAGGAGAGGGGGACAAAAAGCTGCAGAAACCATCCTGGTCAGCAAGATAGGAAAGAAGAAACATGACTTCTTGAAGGCACATCAAAGGAAGCAGGCAAGAGAGATCAGGCCCGGCAAACAGAATGTTCACTTCAGTAGGGCAAAAAGGGTCTAACTGTGGCAGGAGGAAGGTGATGTTCACTCTGAAGTACCTACCCGCCCCAAAGAAATACTCAGAAGAGGACATCGAGCCCACCCACTCTGCTGTGCACTAGTGCAAAATAGGAAGAGATTACACAAGATTTAGGATCAGGGGCTTAAAATACAATGACCTTCGTGGTATCTGTACATAGGGAACTTAACACCACCCATAACCTTGACACGTGCTGCTGTAATGCTTGAGGGGGGGTTTCCACCACTATTAGAACCACACACGTGCACTAACAGAACAGTTTAAAAAAGACTTATCAGTCATGTTGTAGCTTGGCTACTGTGAGTTGTCAAACACCTTGTAATGGTTTTTCCCCAGAAGATAGATCACGGGAGCCAACTATCCTGTCTGACAAAGAGCAAACATATAAATGTCTATACTTTTGTTCACTCATTTTACTTCAGAGAATACCAGTTAACCCATCACACTCAGCTGCAGATACTAAAGGCTGTTTTCCATCGGGGCTAATTCATACCTTGAGCTATCAGAAGGGGAGTCTTCTTCAGCAACAGCTGCAAAGGGATCTGGCTTCTTTCCTCTCTGTTGAATCTAAGATTGCAGCGGTTGTTTCTTTCTTCTTTTCCCAGCCATTACAATTATGTAGGACGTGACACTAAGAGCAATAAAAACCCCAGAGCGGGGCTAGTTGTGTACTCACACCACCAGACTCTGCGCTGCCAGCTTCCCTAGCGCCAACTCTCCCTGAGGCGATGCTGGGTGGCTGCAGCCACTTGCCTGCTCCCCCTGGGTGTTTGATCTCCTCCTGCCTAAATCTGTTGCGGGGGGAGGCCTGGCCGAGGCCGGGCTGGGGCCTGGCCTAAGCTGGGCGGCCGGGGCTCGCCGTTACCGCGGTAACGGTGCAGGCCAGCCCAGCAGCCCCCGCGCGGCCGGCCGCCATCTTGAGGCATGGCAGCCGCGGCGGCCGCCGGCCCGTTTCCAAGATGGCCGCTCGCTCTTCACCGAGGACTTCCGTCCCCGCCGAGGCCCTCCGGCTCCCGGGAGCGGTTCTCCGGTGCGGTTCTCCCCTCAGCGCTCGCTAGCTGCCGCCCGCTCCTCGGAGGTTTCCAGGCAAAGCGGGACAGGCTGGCGGGTCATGGCGCTGCTGTTGCTCCGGGGACGCTGCGGCTGCTGGCGGCTGCCCGCCCCGGCCTGGGCCCGCCTGCGGCCCGGTAGCGGCGCCCTCGGCGCGGGACGCGGCCTGCAGGTAACGGGGCGGCGGGGGATGGAGCACCCCGGTGTCGCCGCCACACGGAGCCCCTCTCGCCTCTTCAGTCACCTTCCCGGGCCGGCCCCGCCGGTTGACCGGCGCCGCTGCCCCCCGCCGAAGGCACTGTCCCCCCGGGGATGGCCCGGCCCGGCGGGGGGCCTTCCCCGCGGGACCGGGAGCACCGGGGAAGAGGGAGCTGGGTCAGCGCTCGCGGTTTTGTGTTTAAACGGGCTCCCGCTTCGAGGCAGCTTTCCTTGGGAGGTTTTCCAGGTTAGGTCATCGCAAGGGCCCATCATTTCGGTGCAATGTAGCAACAGCTTGGGGGGGAAATACCCTATGAAGAGAACACCTAGGCCGTCATAAGCAAGGAAACGTTAATTAAAGGTATTCTTCTAACTTTATTCCTGCTGACTGTTTGTGTCTCTTGTGATATAAGCACCCACCACGTTGGTGGGTGCTACAGATGTATTTTCCCCATTTTGCTGTGCTGCTGGTATCGCAGGGCTTGCCAACACAGCCGTTAGTGTAGAAGGCAAGGTTCTTGTTTAAGCGAGGCCTCCAACATGATTTAAGACTTTTTTTTTGTGTGTTTTTCTGCAGCCCAGTGAAAAAGCACTGGCAGTCCAAGTAGGCAATGGAGGAAGAACAATTGTGGGACAGCCTTGTGAGACATGCCAGGTTTTTGTGTGATCAGTTTAAACTAGTCTAAGCTGTTCTGTTCTATAAAGCATTGATCCCAAGAGGTTACCCTCTCAGGCCAGCACAAGCTGTTGTGTTGCTGCCCAGCAAACCAGAAAAAAAGGGTGAGGGATTCCAGCCTAGCCTGTGTCCCTGTCTGGTTTGCTGCACAGAAATTTGTGCCTGTGCAGTAGAAGGGGGGTGAGACAGGGATCCCACGTTGGAGAAGGGACAAGACTTGTGTTCAATGAGAATATTAGTAAACGTTAGTTCAAATGCTGCGAACTTGCCTTTAAGTGTGAACATCAACTGCAGGATGCCTGCTGAATTACCATGGGGAAATAGCTGCGTTGTCCGTACTGCCATGCAGCAGGGTTACAAAGTAGTAGTCCTTAAGATTCCCTGTTGTGGGAGGGTGTCTGCATTTTAAGAGCTGACTTCCAACATATCTTTAGAATGAAGAACAGAAATACAAGGAGGAAAAAGATACAGTTTTCAAGTGTTTTGAGTATATGTTTCTATTTGTACACATGCTTTCTTTAAACTGGGTTATAAACAGCATCTTCAAAGTCACATGGTAAGTACACAGCACAGCCAGGAATAATATTTAGGTCTCCCAGCTGCTGGTCTTGCAGCATACCCACAGTATTTTCATATTTAGAAATCTTAGTTTCACTGCATACAGGAAGGTTGAGCAGTCAATACTTTTCCAATAGCTGTCTTTTTTCTATATCTTCTTCCTCAGAGCCTTCTGTCACAAACGCTTTCCCCCACACGTCAAGGCCTCGGTGGAATCCTGGTGAAGCAACACATCATTCGAGATCCAGTCAGGCTTTGGAATCTCTTAGGTGAGTCCCAAAGAGCAACTGTAAAGGTGGAGGAGGGAAGAGGTTTTATTTAGTAAGAGTATTGACTTTTCCTTACCTTCACTGCCTGCAGTCTTGAAACTGAAATAAAGCTATTCTATTCTTGGCTTTGGGAGCTGTGTGCGTTTTGCAAGGGTTCTAGGTTTTTGTTTGATGACAGGGATGAACAATGGGATCTTTCCCCAAGGAACTCGGCATGATTAAGCAAGCACTTGAGTCATTAGACCTAAAAGCTAATTTTAAAACTGCAGATTTTAAAGTAGAGAATCTTTCTCTGCCTCATTAGCAAAGCCTAAGACAAAATCGTCATTCACCTGTGTCAGAAATTACATCATATGACCCTGCTGAAAGCCTTGCATGGGAACAAGTTGAAAGTATATGTTAGAAAATGTTATTTGAATTCTTGGAGCAAAACCACAGAAAGGTAAAACAAAAGCAATTATTCGTCTCACTACCCTCTTCAAATTTGGGAATAAGAGTTTGCTGATGCCTTTGAGGTTTTAATAAAACTGGTCCTGGCTATTCTGGCCAATGTGAGCCTGGTGAGCATGGGCAGCTTTACCTTTGAGAGGGTGGCTTGGGTTTTTTTTAAGTTAAAGTAAAAATATATGTATAATCTTTCAAATGGCAGTGAATCTTCTAGCGGAACTAGCAGGGGGCAAGCAGTCCAGTTTCTGGGTTTACTCTTTTCTTCATGAAAATGACCATAGGAAATTGAAGCTGCTGTCTTCGAGTCAGTTTTCCTTCTGAATTTTTTGCGTTTTCCTGGCAAAAAGTTATTTCGCTTATTGTTTTGTAGCAGCAACCGTGAGTCTTACTGTTTGTAGCCTTACTTTCTTGGCTTTTATTAGAATATCCTAACAGCATTTACTGAGAAACCTGCATTTAACTCTAGCATATACATTTCCTTTCATAAGCCTTTACATTTCCTAGTGTGAGGCTGCTCTTAACTGACCATACCAGTGTTATCTGTGGTTTTATGCCTTGGGAAATGTGTACGTGTTTCAATGCTGAAGACGTTTCTCCCAATTATTTTCTTTGCCACATTAAAATCATCTCTGAACAAAGCCATATTTTGATTGGGTTGTCAAAAAATATATATTACATAAGGAAACTGAAGGGGTCTGTCCCTCCCATTACTGCGCTGGCGAGGCTGTCCCGTTTCCTTGGCACATGAATGAAGCTATGTGCTTTGGGTGCATGTGGGTCTTAGCTTTCTCTGCGTTTGGAGCTCACATGTATTTCTGCCATCCTCAGTCCTCCTCTCTCACTGTCTCCTGAGGTCTTCTGGTAGTAACTACTTAACTCTGCTTGCCTGCAGGTAGCACTTACTATTTTACTACTTCAAGTTCTCAGGGGAGTAACCAGAAGAATGGAGGATTCAAAAAGAAATCTCCGCAGGAGGAGGAGGGTATGTATGTGCCAAAAAGATACTGAATGAAGCAAACGGGGTGTGTGTGAGCAGTGAGGGTAGACAGCGTGGAAGATGAACCTTAATGCTTCTGTCTCTGGGCACTGTAAACCTGTACCTGTAACTTAGCACCTCTACAAGCCTACGGCTCAGACCAAGTGTGAAGGTGTGTATTGGCTTAGGTGATGGAATATTAGGATTTAAGGCAGATCATGGAACTGATTTTGTGCTACTTTACATCTTGTGCAAATAACATCATTGATGTTTGCCTGAGGTTTGCTGCTTTGCAAAGGGGAATGGCAGTATTAACTGAGTTTTGGTTTGGAGGTTTCATTATAGAGCGTTTTGTCTTAATAAACTTGTATTAACTAAGTTTAGTTCTTTAAGCTGGATAATGTGTTTTTTTCCTTATATTTTGTTTACCTTCACTGTGGACGAGTCCCTGTTTCTAGTGATTTACAGAGCTCAAAGTTAGAAATAGATTCCTTAAAGAGTTCTTAGCTGTGTTACTAATGGCACTGGCTCAGAATTAGTCTTTTTTTTTTTTTCTTTTTTAACATCAGTCTGCCTAGATACTGGTTTTTGCATGTCTTATACTGCCTGAGCCCCAGGCATCCTGCTGTATAGGGCTTTCTGAAAATGAGTTTTATTTCACTAAATGTGTTCTGGAACCTAGGGATTTACGTGGTATGCCAGATTATGCCGAGCAGAGGAATGCCCTCTCTACCTTAAGCTTAAGGGAGTGAGGAATTTAATGACACTAATGGGGGTTGGGGGTGCAGGGAAATATCTCTAGTGTACTGGACAAAAACCTTGTGTAACTTCTGATGGACAGTGTTCTGATCCTTGTAGGAGGCACTGTTATCTTCTACCAGTAGATTTTCACCAAATATTTTTCAAATATGTGTAGATTTGTGGGTATCCCTTCAAGTCTTGGTATTGTTGTCAACTTTCTGCTATTTGTAGATTGGCAACAGCTGCATTCCATTTAAAAAGTGTAATTTGACTCTTCCACTTCTGTAAAGAAAATTCTTTGCTTGTTTATGAGTACGTGCCTCCCAAGAACTGAAGTGCATGTGAAGATTTTTCTAGGCCCTGCATAAGGCGCATTTTCAGACTCTGGTGTAGATTTTCAGCTGTGAAGTCCCACAGCTGATAGCATGTCCTGTATCTACTGGCCTGGTGGGGCAGTTAGAGAAAGGTGTCAGAAGTGGCCCAGGTGGAGGTCCCATTCTTCTGTCTTGTCAGTACAGCTTGCAGAAGCATTAGAAACCTGGGCGTTTTCTTCAGTTGATGACATTAGTTGATGCTTGCAAGGGCTGGTGCTGTCTTGAGTGAGTTTGTGGATGCGTGCTGGGCTGCCTGTTTCCTGGACCTTTGAGAGAGGGGTAAGGCTCCAGACCTTTGTACTGCGAGTTGGAAGGTACTTAGCATCATGCTTAAGTCACACAAATTATAATACAATTTTATGAATTATAGCATAAACTTTTACCTAGGTATCATCAAATAATGTAATAGCTGGGCTTTTCCTTTGTGCTTAAACATAATGGATGAATCCTCTTGGGCTAACTAACTTTTGAAGTCAAAGCAGCTGCTGCTGACTCTTAGCCTGACTTGTGTCACTGCAGTCCTCTTTAAGGCAAGAGCAGTGGCTTTGCCTGTTTGATCCATTTAACTGGGTTGAAGTCTTCAATGGGACGTGAGTGCGAGTATTGTGGAGTCCTCGTTAGGGAAGTCAGAGCTTAGAGGTTGGGGCCCTGAGTGTTTGCAAGACCACACAGGGTGACTGCGAGCACAACGCCTTGAAGAAGTATTGTAGCTGTTAAAATTAGTAAACAGTAACATGCTGTGTTCGGTGGCCTCTTTTCTCCTGTGATTAATGGATAGCTTGACTTTGGGAGGCGGCGTGCTACCCCATGTCTCCAGGGGAATACTTGTCTCTGAAGTAATTATTAACAAGAACTCTTCAGACTGTCACTGCAGCCCTTGCAAGATTTTAATCGGAGAGTTCAGATTTGGGGTTAATGGCAAATCATTGCTTCATGGAGGCTTTTTGAGACTAAAAAGCTGGGAAGTACTCCCACAGCTGTTGCTTGCAAGAGTCACATCCAGTTACTGGTTCTCATTTACCGAATATTGTGAGGTAGGTTATGGTACAGTATGAATGTTGTACTGTAAAGATAGTCACACTTTACAGAAGCTTAGAAATAGATTGATTTTGTCCTTAATTAAACGCAGAGTAGAGGAGAGCTTTGCATTGCCTTCTAGCTTTCTAGAAATGGTGTTTTTTTCTGAAATTATTCAGCTGTAGATTAAAGGTCCTAGACAAGTCTAATTCCTAGAAACTGGAGAAGTTGTTTGTGTCAAGATATCTAATGGCCAGCTTTTACCCTGTGGCGATCTTTTTGTGATCATATCCTCAGTTGCCTGTGGTTTAGAATGTATTATATGTGTCCTCACTTTGTCTGAAATTCAATACAGAAAAGTGCTTTAGCAGTAGCTGACTCTGACATCTCCAAGGAACATGCATAGCTATAGATGAACTTTCTTTCTGTCTGTACTCACTTTCTAGAGTAGTTTCTTTTATCTGTAGAATCTTTTTGTTTAGAACTTGCTTAGCTTTTCAGGATCTTGCCCAGACTAAGGCCTCTCTCATACTATATTTTAATTTTCTTTAATAAGACTATAGTGGATGTCATCCTGCAGCTTTGTGATGAATTGGTTCATTGTAATAAAGCTGGATCTAGCAGATAGCAGGAGTGAGGAGATGGCATCGAAGAACAAAGTGAATGGGCTGGACGCAGTGTCTGAGCTTGTCACTGTCTTTTGAAATTATGACCTTATCTGAAAAGCTGCACTGTTTCTATTTAGGAACAAGCCTTTCCTGTTAAATGTGGAGCAGAGCTAGGAAACGGGTGAAAAATGATGCTGTGTATCTGAAGGACAGAGTACTTTTTTTAGCATCTGACTGGGTCATATGTTTGTCCCTTGGTTTTGTTGCAGTGTGTGTAGGGTCTAATTGGTGGCTAGTGATAAATGCTAGTGTCAGAACATTTGCTATGAATTTGCAAATAAATTGAATCAGGACTGCAGCAGACAGATGCACTAGCAGTCCACTGGTACAGAATTAATTTATTTCTGCGTGTAGAATAGTATTTATGTATGCCATGTTGCTTTTGGTGTTAAACTGTATATCAAGAACAAGTGCTAAATTATATATGGAGAACATTCACATATGACTGGAAAGGGGAGGAGGTATTTGTTGTCATCTTAACTCAAACACTAGTTAGTAGTTGACATTGAACTGTGCTGTGGCAGTCCTTTGCAGACCACAGACTTTTAAATTTGCCTGTGCAGTGCGAGAAATGTTGGGAGTCTGAAAAAAAGGTTTGGTGGCAAACACTTGAAGTAAACCATCCCATTTTCTCATGGCACTGATTCAGTGTGTCTCTGGTACAGTAAAGGCAAGGGAAAGCATACCTAGCATGGGAATCCCTCTGATACAAATCCTTAATGTGGACAAATTATCAAACCTTTTAAACGCAAGGTTAGTTGTATAGCGTGGGAGAAAATCTGTGCAGCTTTAAGACAGTGAGATTGATTTAATTGTACTTATATGCACAAGTAAGCTGCATATCTCTTGTGCTATTTCAGATTCACTGCAAATGCAGATATTTTCCTAGATAGTAGCAAAATTGTTGGTCTCGTGATACAGGATGCCAGCAGATCAGGAGCTCACCAGGAAGCAATTATCTCTTATAGCACTGTGCTCTGTGATTTACCAGTAACACTATGACTGGTTTTACTCCTAATATTTTCCAGTGCATATGTTAGCAACAGCCTGAGGACTAGACAGTGTAGAAGCATGTTATAGGGAAGTGGGCTACAGTCATTCTTCAGTTGGATTTTTAGCAACAAGGGTCCAATGGCTTTGTTCGGCCTATATCCATATTAGGCCAGGCAAGTGAGATTGTCGTTTTATTCTAAAATGAGAGTTTTTCATGGGATTGTAATGGGTCTAGTGGCGATGACCATCTGAAGTCTCCTGGACCAGGCTTAGGCTGCCTTAAAGCAGGAAATGCTGATAAGAGCTCTTCAAAATATGTCTGAGAGTGCTGTCTGGTTTTGTACACAATCAATAACTTCTGGAAGTGAGGGGGCTTGCTTTGGCTCGCTGATGCTTCAATTCCTCTTCTTACTGAAGCAACGATTGAAGTGGAAGAGGTGATCCTTTGTCATCTCTGCATACACGGTGCTTCACTGTGTGGCTTTTGGGGCATTGGGGAGCAGCTGAATGTAGCTGCAGCAATGTGATGCAAGCAGATTTTTTGTTGGCTAGCAGGATGCAAAATTCACCTCCTTCCAGGCAATTTAAGTTTACATCTGAGTCCTTATGCTTTCATAACCGGGCTTGTTGACCTGGTGCTGATTCACAATGTGCAGCTGAGGCCCTGTGGTCTGACAGTCTAGAAGCCAGAAAGGCCTGGGAATGTCATGCAGTCCAAAAATCTGACTCACTTGCGTAACCTTGGGCAAGTCACACAACCTCTGTTGTGAGCCAAGCCAGAAAATTGCCTGTGCAGTGCAAGTTAGGTACTGCTTCTGAGTCTGGTCCTTCAGGAGAAACCAAACATGCAACAAAAAAAAAAAAAAAAAAAAAGCTTTAAAAAGTACTGTGGTGTTAATCTTTGACATTTAATTGTCGCTTCTTTGGGTAAGAAGGCTCCGCAATTACGTGCTTATATCTTTCTTCTCTGATATCTTTTTTTCTAAAGAGGATGAAAAACGCAGGAAAAGGGAAAATCAGATGCATCTTGAACGCTTACGGGCACTCCTCATCATAACTTTCATAGTGCTGATGTTTCGATTCACGGTCAGCGAGAACAGAGAGGGGACCAGCATTTCCTGGAACTACTTTGTGAATGAGATGCTGGCGAAGGGGGAGGTCCAGAGAATCGAAGTGGTGCCAGAGAGCGATATTGTGGAGGTTTATCTGCACCCAGGAGGAACTCCACATGGACAAGTTGTGAGTGACTTTCTGCAACTGGAACGAATGACCTTAGATTATACTGTTGAAAAGAATTGACTTAATGAATATATATGTTTGATAAAACTCTAGCTGGTAAATTTGCTCCTCATTAATTTTTCTCTTTCTTGTATTTGAAGTTAAAGGGACTTCTGTTACTCATATCAACCTGGCAACTAAGACTTTTAGTTTAAATTGTTGAAATAATTAATAATAAATAGCTTGGAAGAAAATCTTACATATGTCTAAAAAGCTGGAAAAATTCAGTAGTGTTTGCTAACAGCTCAGTCTGATATGTGAGAAGGTGTCTAGAAGATTGTAAACTCTTATTACTAGGTCATGTTTCAAAACCTTTTCCCTATTTGGATTTTAGTTTCGAGTGTTCTGTCAAACTCCATCAGACTGCCTTCCTAAATCTTCCAAAATGGGAACGAACAAAGCAGAGTTTAATCACATGCTTTTACTTCCAGGAGGTGCCACTAAGAATCATTACAAACTGGCTTGAGAGATTAGAACACTGTTCTTGGATACACCTCCTTTTGTTCAGTGACTTATGATCCATTTACAAACTGCTGAATGAAATTAATTTTTGACAAAGATACAGAAACAAGATCCAAGAAGCCCAAGTGGAGCACAAGGCACCTCCTTTCCGATGATGTAGTTTTCCATGTATAGTACAAAATCATCTGAGCCCAAGGTGTCAGTACAGCTGGGTTTATAACACTAACTCCATCCTTCAGCTTGCCTACAAAGTTGCTGCATCTCATTGTTTCTGGAGAGTTGAGATGTAGTTCTTGACTTTTATGCTTTCATAAAATGCTGAAAAGACCAGAGGTGTTCTTAAGTTCATTTGGAGCCCTAGCATCAGGTCACTGGTGCAACTTGTATCTGACTTGTCCCTCTTGTGCACTACTTCTGCTCGTTGCTATATCCTTATACTACAGTACTTAACATGCTGCTTTTGATTGCATGTCCCCAGAACGTTACCCTGCTGTACACAATGCGGGTGGCAAACATTGACAAATTTGAAGAGAAGCTGAGAGCTGCGGAGGATGAGCTGAATATTGATGAGAGAGAGAGAATCCCTGTTTCCTACAAACATCCTGGCTTTTATGGAAAGTATGATATCAATTTGTGCTTACTGTTGATCTGATTGGTGACAATATCCCTCTCTTGGAGAGGAAAGTAATTTTCAGCTAAATGTTATCATATAAATATAGAACACAAAAGAGGTCTCATTTTTGGAGCGTTTGCCCTATCTTTCAGAAATAGGCGTGCTCTAAACCGTAACATTTCAGAAGTGAGGGTTCCAAGAAGGTGGCTGGAACTGCAGCATGCAGCAGACCAAAATGTTTTGGGTCAGAGTCAGCAAGTCTGAAGAAAGTGCATTGTTGCACAACTGAGCGCTTTTTTGTCCTTATAATCAATTATTCAAGTGCAGAGTATGATAGAAATCCTGACTCAACAACTAATGTTACACACTGATCTGTGGAGAATGCTGGTGGTGCAGCAAGCCTTCCCCCGTTAAAGTGCTTCGAGGAAGGCCTGTCGTGGTTGTTCAGTCTGTAAAAATAAACACCTAGTTTTGGCCTGCTTCTCCAACAGCTGTAGGTCAGAGAACAGCCTGCGCTGGTGCTCGCTCCGGCTGGGAGCTGTGTACAGAGCAGAGCAGCTCCAATGCTAGCATACAGAAATCTCAATGGGAGGAGTACTTCTGTTAAACTAGAGCCCTCTTCTGTTACCTGAAACCAAGATCCTTTGCTTAACAACAACAAAAAAATGCTCAAAGCCTTTAATTCTGAAATAAACTGTAAGGAGCGAGAAGAGGGAAGATCTGTCAAAGACTGTAGAGCGCTGGCTGGGCTTTATTCTGTACTTCCATATGATGTACTAGTGTGTTGTGGTCATTTGCTGCAGGGCTGGCTTATTTGCCCTTTTGTTAAGACTGGCAGCTTGTTTTTGCCAAACAGGATTTTGGGGTCCAGAGTACAAAACAGACCAGTGAAGCTCACTCACTGGGCTGTTGGACAAGTCCACCTGCATCACTGCTGGCCGTTCCACTGGTGCAGGAAGATGCTTTCCATAAGTGTGGGAGAGACGCCAGCGTTTGGAGAGCTCTCTGCTAACTGCTTATTCAAAAGTACAAACAGGGAGGTGTAGTGTGGAAGTCCTGGCTGCTAAGTGAAGAAATCCTGATTCCTGACAACAGATAGCATCGTGCCACTACAGTTGCACCATGCAGAGTGCATCATCTGCTGTTAGTAGCTCACAGGGAGTGGAGCGCAGCGGCTTTTCCACTAGAGGCAGGGATGGCCAGTGAGTATAATTCTTCCTCCTGGATACCTTACCAAAAATTTGAAACAAATGTCCTGTTTGTGTAGGAACGGATATCTGGGCTGGATTTGGCTTAGTTATGTGTCTTCTGAAAAGCATTTGCATATTTTTAATACATGGTTTATATGAAGATAAACTTTTTAAATTGATCATGCAGGAGGAGACCTTTAGTTGAAATTCAGAACTTGCCAATTTTTTCAAACTTGTGTATAACAGGAAGAGTAGACTGAACCAGTTAGTCAGCCACCAACACAAGCTGTTATCTCTGCACCTGAAAAGACATTATTGTTTTTTAAGAGATGCATTTTGATGAACGTCTGGAGAATTCAGCCTTGGTCTGGAGTTTGAACCTGTGAGGTGCAGAGCACTTGCAGCTTGGATTCATTTTACTCTGAGGTCTGGGCACTTGATGTGTTTCAGGATTAATCCTGTTTGCGTAGTTGACAAACTGAAGGTGACTTTGTTTCCAGTGTTGCCTAGAATCTCTCACCAAGAAGAAACAAATGCAGCTGGGTATATAGCAGACACTGGTCCCCTTGCTTCAGTAAATCATCCCTCTGAGAGACAGAACACACATTTATAGTTTAAAGATAAAACACAAAAGTGTAGTGAGACGAGATGATTTCACGGGCATGTGAAGCAGAACAGGGTCCCACAAATCTCAACCTGTCATCTGACATATTACCATTTTCCCTCCTATTGAATGCATCCTTTGTTTAGAGCTCGCAAGATGTTTGTCTTGTAACTGTTTTAGACCCTCAGTGTCACCTCTGGTCTTCATCACCCTCCTAATAGAATTGGTATTGCAAAGGATCCAGCAAATTGATGATGCTGGTTGCAGGAGCACTTCCTTCTGACATCAAGGACTTCTGAGAAACTTCACCAGGCAGGGCCAACCAGACTAGGTAGAGCAGCCTCTTAATGGGAGACCCTCGCTGGGATTTCTGCCAGGAGTAGGAGAGTTGGAATCTCCCTAGTGTTGCCAGCTGCAGGTCTTCTGCAGTGAGCTCCCTTTGGACGGACTGCCAGTCCCACAGGGTTCTGCTCCGGGTGTGATTTGACTGCCTGAAGGTCCTGTTTGTTTATCAGTAGAATTGCCTCCGAAGGGGATGGTGAGGTTGAATTTCTTCCACAACTGTCAGCAATATTTGCCAGTGTCCTCTGTTTAACTTTTTAAGTTACGTAGTTGCTGGGTTCTTTTGTTTCATATATATATATATATAAAAACTTGTAAAAGTTCTGTTTTCTTAGTAATGTCTGCTCATTGCTGCACTTGTAGCCTAAATGTCAGGACCTTTAAAATACTGAAAATAGCTATGTTGAGTAATGTTTACCAAGTTGTGGCCAAACACTTCAGTTTGTACCTGTCTTGCTTTTGTCCTTTTAGTGATGTCATTTCCCTGATAGTGACACTTGTGGCTGTGTCCATGTTGTGGAGCATCTTCCGCCTTATTAGGGTTGCAAGCCGGGTAGGAGGATTCAACGCTTTTGTGAGTATCCTGGATCTTGATGTTGTTTTGCAGCCTGTGGGTAGTCTTGTCTTCTGCTGGCCTAATTTCCTCCCCTTTCCCCAGCAAAGTCGATGCAGAATGAGAACTAACTCGTGCCAAAGACTCTCCAGCCTTGACACATCTTGCATCTTTTCCTGTCCCGATCATCTGACTAGACTGTACAGTAACTGGCCTTAGCTGAGGCCCTTTCTTTCCCCCATGGCAGGAAGGGCTGAGCTCAGTGAGTTTGCAGTCCAGTTTGCTCTGCTATTTTCAAAGCTTGTTAATGAGTTGCAGCTGCAGATGGTGTTTTTCACTGGGTCCTGCCAATATGCCTCCCATACAGCCAGAAGCAGGAATTGCTGCTTTCTGCAAAATGAGTTCTCAATTTATAAAATATGTTCAGATTCTGGATTTCATTATGTGTTGGCCTGTTCCGCTCATGCCACATGCCTCACTTGCAACATCAGTCAAATCTCCTCCTCCCTTCTTCTACCCTTGCCTGGATCAGCTGACAAAACTCTGTAGAAATCAGCCTGGGGTGCACTGCCATTGACCGCAGGGATTTGGGGATGAAAATGTGGTGAATTCAGTCCCTTGTTAGGTTTCCCACTCAGTCTCCTCTGCAGTTCTCTTCTGGCTTTGGGATTCTCTTTGTATAAAGGGATGCAGCTGCTCAGGGGAGAAGAATATTTGAAAGAATTGTTGAGTAATGAGGGCCTTGAGGATTAGATTCTGTCCTTGCCTAAGTGGGGACAGACAGGCCCTGCACATTTAACTCTTCGTTTGGATAAGCTGATGTTTCTAAGGCCTGAAAAGCTCTTCTCAAAGAAAAAAATAAATTCCCAGTAGCTGTTTTCAGTAAAACATAACAAGCAGTTACAAGTAGGGCATTTAACTAAATCCTTGTTTCGACTGTCACTGTGGCTTAACACATACCAGGAGACTGAGATGTGGTGTCTGTTAAATTTGAGAACCTATAGTTCTGTCCTGGGTCGTGTTGCAGTAGAAACCAGTGGCAGCATCGGACAATGCTGTGAAGTGTCTGTTAACATGCATTTAGGAGACACTATTGTTAATTATTTATCATCAATACATATTCCTCCAAACTACACCTATCCCGTGTGTATTAAGGATCAGAGCATTTAGAAATCGGAGAGATCCCAAATACGGTTTTGTGCATTCTGCACACTTTCAAGAAATATCCCTGCCTGGTTGACATGGAGTTTGAGCTGGACTGTGGTGGAACTATTACTGCAGGTTGATTCTGTCTATTCCGAACAACATGTGGATAAATAAAGTTTCAGTCAACAACCTAGCTGTGAAGTGTTTCCAAAGCAAAAGTCAGTAAAACACCAATGTGTTGGTGGGCATTTTAGTGTTGCTTGTTAGGGGCAGCTTACACCTGTGCTGTGCTGTCCCCCGAAGTATAGCAGACAGCCTTTCCAGACTGTTGCCTTGTCCAGAGTCAGAGCATGTCTTCAGTACTTGTGCTACCTTCCACAGAACCAGTTGAAAATGGCTCGTTTCACCATTGTGGATGGGAAATCTGGAAAAGGGATTGGCTTCAAGGATGTAGCAGGAATGCATGAGGCGAAAATGGAAGTCAAAGAATTTGTGGACTATTTAAAGGTATATAGAAGTAGAAGAAATGAAGTGCTTGCTACCCATCTTCTGGGGTAGGTGGCTGACCTGGGGAGGAGGGTATGTTCTCTTCATCCTTCATGGCACTCAGCAACCTCTGTTTAAATAAGCTGACAGCTTTTTATACTGTGGTCGGCATGACTCAATCTCCACATTTCCAATTCCATAACAGGAATGCAGATGTAGCTGCTCCCATTAGCAGCTCAAGATTTGCTCAGGCCGAAAACAGTATCGGGAAGCTCTGGGAGGCTGTGTTCTTGTGCAGATGCTTCATGTGAGCTGCGGACCTGACAGAGCTGTATCGTTTTTGCAGAATCCCGATCGCTACCTTCAGCTCGGGGCTAAAGTGCCCAAGGGTGCCCTGTTACTTGGACCACCAGGCTGTGGAAAGACATTGCTGGCGAAGGCCGTGGCCACAGAAGCGCAAGTGCCGTTTTTGGCCATGGCAGGCTCTGAGTTTGTGGAGGTGATAGGAGGTAAGCGTCTTGGGAGGAAGGGTGTGGACGTTACTTGGTCTGCTGTGGAGCTGGAGGGTGCTTGCTGGGCCTCCTGCACAGGACAGAGTTTTAGCCTGTCTTTGCAAGGGGAGGATGAGTTGGATATTTCTAACAAAAATATAAAAGGTTTTCAATGGTAGAGAGTACTTAATTATGTAGTACCTAAAATGCATGGCCTCCGAATTGCTAGTTGTTTCTTTCTGACAAGGTGCAGCCAAGGTTCTTCACCTGAAAGCATCACCTCTGACTTCCCTGCACTTATTATTAAAGCCACGGACTGGGGCTTCCTTCCTTATATAGGAATGCAAATGGGTTTTCTGCTGTTCCCTGCTGATATGGAAAATATGGCCTCTTTGTGCCTTGGGATTTCCATCTTCCTCCTTTTCTTCCTTCCTTCCTAGATCTCTGGAGACCTCACAAGGTTCAGTGTGCAGGAACATGCTGAATATTTCGGCCTCTGACCTGTGGAAGGAGCAGGAGTTCATGTTAGGAGCTGGGAGCAGAGCTCCCCTTACAGCAGCTGTAAACATCCCTGCAGTTTTGGGAGCTCAGTTAAAAGCCAGCACGCAACAGGAGGAGCTGTGCCTAAGGACTGAACATAGGAGTTCTGTGGCTATTTCTTTGTGCTGGAAGTGTTGAGAGAGGGACTGTCATATACTGAGGGTTTGCCCAGTGTCAGGAGTCTTGTTGGGGGCTAGTAATCCTATTCTCCGCCGTACGAACAATTTTAGCCATGAGACTTGTTTCTTCTTCCCTTCCCTTACAGGTCTTGGAGCTGCCCGAGTTCGGAGCCTCTTCAGAGAAGCCCAGGCTCGCGCACCCTGCATCGTGTACATCGACGAAATTGATGCTGTGGGCAAGAAGCGCTCAACCAATATATCTGGTTTTGCCAATGCTGAGGAGGAGCAGACCTTAAACCAGCTGCTGGTGGAAATGGATGGTCGGTATTTCTCTCTGCCTCTCAGCAGTTGGGCCCTCATCACCTTAGAGATTCAAGCTGTTGGCCTGTACATATTTTTCCTTCTTGAACTTGCCGTGTCTCTTTAGCGTTCCCTTCTTGCTGAAGGAATTGCCATTGCATTGAAACAAATCTCATTCCCCTCTTCCCTGGGACAAGGCTAGCTTGCACTTGGCAGCTTGTTCAGGACTAAGCCCAGAACTTCAGCTTGGTCATATCTTTGCTAAAAAACAATCTGTACAGCGAGTGACAACTGTGTTTCAGACTGCTGCTTAGTGAAGGGGCTGTGGCCCTGAAAGTCAGGATGTTTTTTTCCTGTGTGGATGCCAGTGTAACCCTGGCTGGCCTTGCTCTGCTTTCGGAGTTGTCGTATCACTCACTTGAAGTGGGTCCTTCCTCTGTCATTTCTCCCCTTCGCCAGCAGCTGGTGTTCAACGCTGGGTTTGTAGAAGTTGTGTGCCCAGTACTTGCCTCACGCTGAGCCAAGGTTTCCTGCAGAGCCCTTAGGAATCTCCTCAAGCACCAGTCTGAACCTATGTACCCCATCACTAGTCCCTGTTTCTGAAAGTACTGTAGCATGTCTCTCCATCTGTCCCTTAGTTAGACTGGACTACTCCAGAACTGATGGTGCCTAAGGAAGTAACTGGGCTCGGGACAGATCTCTGAGTAGGTGCTGTGACTAGGTTGCTCATTTATATAGGTGTTTAAGGGTTCGGGGCTAAGTCTAGAAAATTATAAATCCCTGGACCAACTGGTCTTGTGACTCTACTGAAGACCCTGAGTTAGAAGAGATGGTAGTGTCACATCCAGAGTGAATATGTACCAACAGCCATGTGAGCGTCCACCTGCTAATAAAATCAACAGAAAATGTGCATTAGAGATCATGGCTGGCAGAGGGCAGCAACCCCAAAGACTCTTACTGTAGTAAATGGCTTCAGTTTGGGAGAATGTTTTCCTACTGGCAATTGGAGAAGAATTATTTACAGTACTGGGAAACCAAAATAAAATGAATTGGCAGCAAGGGCACTGCTGTCTGTAGAGGGTAACATTTTGGTCCAGCTGGCCATTAAATATTGTTGGATACTTGCTGTATTCAGTCTAAGACAGGTAGTGGTTCAAAGCCTGTTAAGGTTTAAAGTTTAGTTGTCCCAGAGGGACATAAGCAATGTAATATATCAATCCTCCCGACCTTTTGACTTATTTTCACATTGTCTGCTTGACTACAGGATCCCAATCTAAACTGAGGGGTAAGCTTTGCAAACAAGTCCTGGTTTGATGCCACACTTCTGGATGGTTTCTGGATGTACTGTATCTGGAATTGGCCCTTTTCTCAGACACTTTCACACAAGTGCCAAAAAGAATGATCCTTTGGCTATTGTTAGTCATAACTCAGTCAGAGCCTGCAGCACCTACCCAACTTGCAGTGTTTCTGTTTCTAAATCTTATTATTGCAGAGCAGGGTAAGCAATAACTACCTACCTGCCCATCAGGGAGTGTTGATATCAGTCTGTTGTTTTGTGGGACAGAGCTGCCTTTTCCCTGGACTGTGACACTTGTTTTCTCATCACACTCTTTATATGAAAAATTAAAAGCTGTCCTGGGCTAAAAGCACCCCCCCATTCTCCAGGTGGGATTTAGGCCCTTGTTAAAGGGATTAAAACTGCTTGCTTTTTTTACTGAATGTTTGCAATGAAATAGGGATGCAGCCCTGCTAAAGTAGAGCACATCCTATAGTTCAGCAGCAAGGCTGCCTTCTGGAGGTTGCTCTGGAGTCAACCTTCCCTTTTCAAGGAGAGAAGCTGGGACTTGTAAAGATGCTTTCAGCAGAGGGTAGATGTTCCTCCATACTGCACGCAAGATGATCTGTAATTCTGGATCTCTGCCCTTGCTGCAGGAGGAGAAATTGTAAGCAGGAGCACAGCCGTGGTACAGACAGGGTAGAGTGGTCCTGCTGTACTGAGAACCTCCAGGCCTCTCTCTGCTGCAGCACAGGTGCCATGAAGTTTTTGGAGGAGAGGAATGAGGTTTAAGTAGGTCCTAAACAACCAGACAGGAATCTGGTTATAAGAGGAACGTGCTTAAAACACACAGTGCTCTGTAGATATCAGAAATCACCTTAAATATGTGTATGCAATTCCCTGGGACTTTGCACATGCACTATCTTAAGTAACTTGGCCAAGCACATAAATATACTTGGAGTGAATATAACTGTTTACAGCTGTATCTGTGTAGTATATAGTCTCGACAGAAAAGGCCAGGAGTAACACAAAGAACAGCAATCCTGTCTTGGTTGGGTTTTTTTCTCCTGACATTTGTAGAGTGAGCTGGCAACCAGTTAACACTGAACTAAATGGAGGTGCACCTGTCTGTTCAGGAATATGTAGTCAGTACAGTCCACATCTCTATACTAAAAATCAAAATGTCTGATTTCCTCCAGTCTGTACAAATTGGGCATGGTTTCTAGAGTGTTTTTTTGGTGAGGCTCAATTCAGAAATTAGGGTACAACTCTATTGGAAAGTGAGTTTAGAAGGTAAATATTATCCTCAATATGTACTTTAATAGCCCCTTGTTTGCTGTGTGCTACCTAGTTTATTTTTAAATTTATATTGTCTCATTATTTATTCATGTCTCATACAGATCATGTACTAAGTCCCTCATTTTGCTAAGTGCTTTATCAAACACACTAAAAAAATAGCCCAAGGAGTTTACAGTGTCAAATGGGAGACAGCTGGCAAGGACTGCCAGGCTAGTACAAGAAACATGGACTTGCTGTTGGCTTGTACTCATCAGCAGTGCTCTTGGCACATGCTACTGAAATGTTATCTAACTGAGCATGTTACCTAAAGGAACACTGAAGTGTTATGTGCATCACGGCAAAATAGTTTTCGGGACAGTGAATAAGGCTTTTTAGGAGGTTAACAGTTCTACCCAAGCACAAGCGGAGGAGTGGTGTGTGTTTGTAACGAGGAAGCCTTGAAATGGAAGGTTGAGAGCTCTGTTTAAGCTGTCTTTAGCTTAAATTGATGGTTGAAGTTCTGCAAGGCAACACCATAGAACAGAGTTAGTTATTAATTTGAAAAAAAAAATCGTGCACAAAAGTAGATCTGTGAGTCACCAGCGGTGATTGGTGAATTTGTGTGTTCGAATGAGATTATTCAGAAGTAAGGTAGAGAAAGAAAAGGAGGGTCAGAGCTATATGGAACCTGTTCTGCAGGCTGGAGGAAGGATGAGGACACCAAGAAAAAAGCCATTATGCCAAGACGTATGCGGTGAATGTGCACTTTGATACTCAGTAATTCTGGTACACAGATTTTAGAGTAATTGTAATGCTCTTCCTACAAGTGACCTTGGTTTCCTTCACTCTGACAGCTTTCTTCATGTTCTGGAAGCACTGGGAGTCTGGTGGGAGAAGGGGAGGGACTGGAGAGAGCCTTTATGTACAAAGGCTGTTTTTAAAACCAGAGTAACACGTGTACTCCAGTCTTTGTCAAAACAGGTGCCTGGTTTGAATAGTAAATCATGCCTCACAAACCGCAAACAAGTGGAAGGGGAATGTGACCCAAATATCTCTTCTGTTCTGAATGCATTCGAGAGGAGCTTGACAGTCCTGGGCTGCTCTGTGTTTTGTGAATGAAAATGCAGGGCATCTTCTTTTGGCGGCGGCTTTTCACCTGAAGCCCTCGGACAAGACCTCTCCCCTGATCTGTGCTGTGTGCAAGTCTCTGGCCCCGCACAAAGGTGGCCCCGTTTCAATGATACTGTTCGCAGATGATGTCCAAAAGGCTTTTGAACAAATGGCTAGAGAATTGCACAGTGTAATAATGCAGATGAGATGCCCATCAAATTAATGTGCTGTGTCAGTGAGGAGCAGAGCACTTGCCTGTTCGAGTGGACCCTTTTTTCCCTTTCCTTTTTGAAGTGGCTTCATTTGTAAACATTGTAGCTATGAAGTCTCTCTTCAGGCTAAATTTTCAGAGCTGTTTTTCATTTGTTGATGTGACTGACGTGTTGTTTTTGTAGACTGTTCCTTAGGCTGATCCTTGCCTGTGGAAGCCAAAGCCTGTGACATGCCAGGTGATGTTGCACTGGGAATAGTAATATGAATCGGAGGCTGCAGTTTTACTTTTCTTGGAGCAGTGTTTCTCACCACTGGGATACAGGCTTGAGAGCAAGTGGGGCAGAAGCTGATGTGAGAAGGATGCACTCCCTGGTTCTGTTTTGTGGTTTGGGTTGGGTTTTTTTTTTATATTTGTTCTAATAGCCAGACTTATTTTAAGAGAGTCTTCCCAGCTGCAAAGCAGATAATGTACTGTACCATCTAATCCTGCCGTGCGAATGAAGCTTGCTATCCCCCAAGTGCCTGCCAGTCTCTCTGCTTATTTATCTCACTCCAAAGTGCAGTGTAGTACACGCCTGAAGAATGGCTGGCTTCATCCTCTCCAGGAGCTTATTTAGACAGCATCCTGCAGGGAGGAGGAACTGAGGCTTGCTATAGCACAAGTTGACAGAGCCAGTCCTCTGACTTACCTGTAACCTTAATCTCTCTGCTGAGCTCTTGTACACTGACACATTTGGCAGCTCTTCTGGTGGAGCTGGAGAGAGCTGAAATTTGCCCAGCTTACGTGCATAAAGCTGCCTCTCTGCAGCGTGTGACTTGGCAGCGAAGGAAGCACATGGGACTAGCGCGTCCTTTCCCTGGGAAGGCTGCTGTATGCCAGGGCTGTTGAATCTGCTGTAGGCAGGTGACTCATACCCAGGGGCCTGTGGGCACCTGGTGGAATGTAATAAATAAGCAGCGTGGTTCAGTGATTCAACAGGATCTCTGGCTCCCCACCCAAGCAGCGCAGCCGCCTGCCCCTTTCTGCCCTCCTCCAGCTGCTAGTGCTCTGGCTTCCCCAGGAAGCCCTGCCTGCCTTTGATGCCTCCGTACCGCAGGCTGCTCTCATAAAGCCTGTAAATCCTGATGCTCCCTTCATCTTCAAGACCCGGAGACAAAACCTTCTCTGACTGTGGCTTGAGCGAGTCTATGCTAATCATCACTGCAAAGCTGGTTGCGGTTTGTGTCTGCCTATGTGTCCGTGGTGTAAGTTCTGCAGGATTGGTCTTTGCACTGGTCTGCAGGATGTCTGGGTGCCTTCTGAGTGATAAAAGAGGAGTGAGAAGAGAAAGATCAAATCGTGCTGTAATGTGCCCCTTGCTGGGTGGCGAGGCTATGTCTTCTCTCTCTGCATTAATCTGAGTTGGTCAGAAGAAAGGCTGTCCCTTCCCCAGGGATCCTGGTGGCCTATCTGTGACTGAAGGCTAAAAGCAAATGAGAGCTGAAAGGGCTTTCCACAGAAATATTTGGGAGAGAAGGGCTGTTTCATCTAGCAAACATTGTTTGTACAACCTGGAGCTAAAGGGGTAGGAATTGACTTAAGCCTGGGGGTGGGAAGGCATCTCCTAATTCCTCAGAATAGAGAGATTCTGTCTGGGTTTCTAGTTGGAGCAATTTCCAAATGTGGCAACAGGAAGTGGGGGAAAAAAAGTTTTAAGCTAAGGCTTACTGAATGAGTGAAAGGGAATTTCAGAGTATCCGTGATGACCAGAGACTGGCCTGGGTGACTTGCAAGGTTCCTTCCTGTCTTGTGCTCCTAGCTGAAGAGGACGCTTTCTCAGCCTCAGCTGCCCCAAAGGATGCTGTGAACACCCTCTGGCTTTGTGATAAAGCTGTGTAAGATGTTCTCTGCATCCTGCCCTGCCCCGTCCCTTTGTATTCTTCCAGTGCAGCATCTGCGACAGGGAAAACCTTCACCTTTGTTTTTGCTTGGTTTTCTACAGGGATGGGGACCACAGACCATGTCATAGTGCTGGCTTCCACCAACCGTGCTGATGTCTTGGATAATGCTTTGATGAGACCTGGGAGGCTTGACAGGCACATCTTTATTGATCTTCCAACACTCCAGGTATAATCCACCTACTGCCCTGTCCTTACCATAATGCTAATGACTAAGGTGACCCAGTCCTTGCTGGTGATTCGCTGGCCTGGCAAAGGCTGAGCTTGGAGAATATGGAGGAGGTGAGCTTCTGTTTGTCTTTATTCTCACGTGCTCTAAATCAAGCGTTTGACATGCTAACGCAGTTGCTTGTTTCTCTCAAGTGACAACTCACTGTTTTTAAGTGTCTCTGCTCTGGTAGGAACTTTGGCAGTGAATCCTTCTGTGAGGTTCTCTTTGCCATACAGATGCAGAACTACGTTTGTGTCCTCTCCAGGAAATTGGGAACCACCTAACTGGCAAGTTGGCTTGTGGGAGAGCTTAAATTGTCCTGTGCCTTGAGCACCATTTGTTCTGTAGGTTTATTGTCCTCACTATCCTTGTAAGGCTCCTCATTTTCCTTTAGGCAGCCTGTTAAGTGACTTTCTCCTTCTGAGTGCTTTTTAAATCCATTTACTCGGAGTCTTCCATGTCTGCTGTGTTGACATTTGTAGCAGAGTTTTGGGAATAGGCTCAGCTGCAGTAAAGATCTGTCTGCTCTGCCAGCACAGGCTCTTCTTCTCCCATCTGTGCTTTACTCTTGTCCTCAGAGTTTTCAGTTTAAATACCTTAAATGCCTGATAGGATCTGGCACCAGAAATATGAACTCTGCAGCTGCCCTGAAGGAGGAAAGGGAAAAACCCTGGCAACTGAGCCCATTGTTTTAATCAGGATCTCCTGGACCAGCTGAATGAGTCACTCCTTGGCCACTTGCCAGCCGCCAACTCACCCCCACCTTTGTCTGGGAAATGGTCGCAGGCTAAGTAGCTGGTCGATGGGGTTTTCAGTTGGCGGTGTGGGAGGGAGCAGGTAGAGGCAGTGGGAGCTCCTTCCTGCGAGCGCTGTTATGGTAGGCGAGAAGTTCAGACAGATCAGAGTGAAAGTGAGGAGGGGAAAGTGGCCCTGAGAGAGAAAGCAGTGACTCACGGTAAGCCTCGGTACATCTGTTGTGAATTTGAGAGCTGGGTGTTTATCGGGGCTCCTGGAGCACTCCGGCTCCGTAAGGACAGCCCTGCCCTCTGGTGGCAATGTCCCCGTCCCCGCTGCCAGAGGTCTGCTCCTCCCCAGCTCCCTGCCATGGGTGGCATGGAAGCTGCCACGCTGCGAGGGCTGGCTGGGCTCAGCCGTTCTCTGCTCTTTACAGGAGAGAAGAGAGATCTTCGAGCAGCACCTGAAGGGGCTCAAGCTGATCCAGGATGCCAGCTTCTACTCGCAGCGCCTCGCTGAACTGACGCCGGGCTTCAGCGGTATGACATGCTGTGCCCTTGGGGGACTCCTTTGCCTCCTTCTATGCTGGTTCCGCTGTTCAAGCTGGACCGTCTGGGTTGCTTAGATTTAACAGGGTATTTTGGTCTAAAGGGCTTTTTTTTCTTCAAGCCTTCTCCATCTCTATGGAAATAGTGGGAACCTAACCAGCTCCCTGGTGAGCTCTGATGAGCAATTGTTCATGGCTATTTTCAATCTTCTGAAATTTCTGGGACTAGCAGGCTGTGGGGGTAGGGGAAAATACACTTCTGTAATGCCTGGGTTCCTAATTCCTATGGGGAGGAGCCACTGCTCATGCTCCTGTCCGAGCTGTTGTTGAGAATGAGATGTTGTGCTTCAGGGGGAAGACTCTTAAGTTGATATATGTTACCAGGAAAGCAATGAGAGGAATGAATAGCAATTACTTTGTCGGTCAGAGTAGAAATTGGACAACTCTGCACTGAGCCTGTTTCCAGGGTAGGTCCCTGGGAGTTTGAAACAGTGCTGAGCAAGGGGCTCCAGAGTTCCTGTTTATGTGGATTTCCTGGAATATCCTTTCTGGGTTTCCCCTCTAATAGGCCCCAGCACAGTGCCTCTTCGTGACTTCTTTCAGCAGCCCCCCGCCACCATCACCCACACACACAAACTCGGAACAGATGTTGTTTCTCTTCCACACAGAGGTTGTGCGGTGGTTGTATGAACAGCACGGCAGCACATGCCAACCCAGACTGCCCACGCCACTCCCCTGTTGCTGAGAGCCAGCCTTGGCTTTAGCCTGTTAATTGATTGCTGAACTCTGTCCTCTGTGTGGCAACGCAGCGTTCATTGCCAAGGCCGTTGTATTGTTCAAATCCAACATAAACACCGTGGACTAGGTTTGCTCTCTGTTCCCCACGATCAAAAAAGTGCACACTGTTTGACTTCCTTAGGTCCTTCTCCAGATTTGTTCTTGCTTATTCTGTCCTCTGAGATCTCTGTTACGTAACCAATCCAATGTAATTCTTGTAAACTTTTGTCTGCAGGAGCTGACATAGCAAATATATGTAATGAAGCTGCTCTTCATGCCGCTAGAGAAGGTCACAAATCCATCGATACTTTCAACTTCGAATATGCTGTGGAAAGAGTCATTGCAGGTAAGCGATCCAGCCATTTCTGTTGTTGTCTTACTAGTCTGTCCCACGCTTCTTGAGAGAAGGCTCGAGAGAGAGGGTTACATTCGAGGAAGACAGATGGTTCCTAACTGTCCTCTGTCCGGTAGGTGTTAGATGCCACAGTCACAGAAAATTTTCCAAACAAGACCTCAAATGGATCTATCTGCCTGAATCTGCAGGCAGCCTGAACCCTGTAGCTCAGGGAAGACAGCCAGTAGCAAAACAGGAAAGAGGGGAATTCAAATCTGTATGGCTTTTTTAGTTTAAAAAGGTTTGGTTTGTTGTTGGTTTGGGTTTTTTTTAGAAGAAAACGTGTGGAAGTATCACTGGGGTGTTTCCTTGCTGCTCTGGACACCTGCTACATAAACATGAATAGCAAATAGGCTACGCATCCTCAACAGCAAGAAACTAGAGATTTTTCTCTTTGGCCTCAAAGCCCAGGCTTTGATGAATTTGGCAGAATGAACCGAAAGACAGTAGAGTACTGTTCTCCCTCTGAGAACATCCTGTTGGCCTTTCCCTGTCACTTGTGCGATTGCCAGCAGAGGAACCTCTGGAGATTACCCTGTAGCAGTATATTATACGGAGGGGAAAAAGAGTTCCCAGAACTCTTGACTTCACCTGAGCGATTTGAATCTGGTGGGTTTCGGTCTCAGCTGCCCTGCAGCCAAGCTGTTGTTTTCATAATCAGACACTCAGCTGCTTCCAGGCTGCAGTGTCGTTACGGGGGGGTGAGCCTGGGCAAACAGACTGGCATTCTGTGCTCTTCTTAGCAGAGCATGTGGAACAGGATGTTTATACTGGGTCGGTTATTTCCTGATCCTGGAATTTAGTCCTGAGCATTTACTTTATCAGAAAATGCCTAAGCAATTCCTCATTTAAGAGAAGATTTTTGAGAAATTTCCAGACAGTTTCAACTGCCTCTTAAAAACAAAACCCTGGGAGTGCTTTGGGTGACTGTGGCCACGCTTGCACAAAGCCCAGACTGGACTCAGCAGCTCCCAGGAGGGGACAGCGAGACGATTCTAGTTGTAACACAGGAGTCCTCGTCAGCCGGAGCAAAGATGTGCTTTACTTTCCCATACTTGTAGGGATTCACTTGGCTTTTCTTTCTGAATTCCACCCTTGCCTTAGTTCCCCAGGCTGGGAAGACAAGGCAAACAGCAACTAAAGCCGCAAGGGATGTGTACCAGAAGGGATATCTGGGATTACTGTGGTGGGGCATTGCAGGGCACGGCACGGGCTTCAGCAGTTTCACTGCTGACAAGCTGACTTGCTTCACTAAGACTCTGTGGTGTGTAGGAAGCCATAAAGTCTATTTGTTGCTTAATCGGATTCTTCCATATTAGCAGGACCTGGCCATTTTTTATAGATTAAGTCTAAAAGACCCCAAACAACCCTTCAGGCCCTTATATTAAACGTACCCTTGCCATGTAATAGGAATGGTTCTGGGTTTCACAATCCAGAGGGCATTTCAGTTGCTATAAAAGCTGTTCTTGAAAGAAAGAAGATACTACTGTGCTTTCCATTATAAGCTTCTGGTTTTAATAAGAGCGGTGCAGAATCAAAAGGGAACTTTGCAAGTCCAGAGGCCCTGTCAGACTTAAAGCTTTGTGTTGCTGTAAGGGAGGAGTAAGAACTTCTCTCTGTGGTAGTCCCCATTGTGTTGTTAGTTTGGGAACAGAAAGCAGTAAGTCAGGTCTCCCGGGAGTGAGGGAGGAAAGCTGCTGAGTGCACAGAGGCTTTTAGGGGTTGTCTGTAGATGTATTGGAGCCTGTGTTCTTGGTGGGGTTTGTGTACACTGTGTAAGGCCAACAACGATGCACCAGAGTTGTTTCCTGGGTTGTTTATCTCATAAATGTGGTAAGTGCAGGCCTTCAGGGAACTTTCCTGCCTGGAGATGACTTTATGTAGGAGAAGAAATAATCTTTGTAAGCACACTGTGTGCTATTGTGAAGAGTACAGTCCCTCCCTCCTTGGTGGGCTGACAGAGGAATGCTTCCAGAATTTCAGTCTGTGTGTGTGTGTGTATATATAGAGAGAGATAGTGTATATATACATCTTTCTGCAGAAAGAGAGATACAGGCACATGCGCACACACTGCTGAAGGCAGGGTAAGGGTCCGACTGACGAAAATCAGGGCTGTTCCAATTTATCTGCTATTCCATCACTATCATGCCTTGCAGGGCACAGTGATTTCCGGGGTCCCTGAGCAGTAATTTTACAAGATCTGCCACACTAATTTTGCTGTTTTCTTGTTTAATAAAGCTCTTGACTTTGTTTAAAAATTAATGTTAATAGAATGTTGTTTTCCAAGACATCAAGCAAGCTTGGTATAATGCTGCTCTTGACTCTGCCTGTTCTACCCCCTACTGCTCCTGGCACTGTGCAGAAACAACGGCTTTAAAGTACTGGTACCTTTTTGTACTCAACATGCAGAGCTATAATGAGTACTTGATATGCAGTATATTCTGTAGTTAACATATTTTCTGCGTGCTAGAAGTTTTACTTCCATTCAGGTTTTGGGTTTGGTGTTTTTTTTTAATCCTAATTGGACTTATTCTGCGTTACGGACTGTTGGATTGGAAAATAGGTGCTTTCGAAAGTCACCTTTTTGGAGGAGGTATTAAGTGTGAGTTATGGCTTAATTTGCTAGTTCTCAGGAGCCTGGGAATAAGCTCATATGGAGCATGCCATGTGTAATCGGAGACGTTTCCAGGGTCTGGAGAAAGTATTTTGTATATACTCTTGATCTTTTGCTGATTTGAACACTCCTAAAGCACAAGAATCTCAGCTGGGACCTCTCTTATATATAATGCAATATCTTGCTTCTCTCATGTTCTGCCTAAGGGACCGAAAGACTGTACAGCAAAATCAGTATGATATTCTAGCTAGTCTCTCGTTTGAGTTTTGGTTTGTTGGGGCTTTTTTTCCAAATGTTAGACTGACTTGTTGCAGGTCTGTCCCAGGGCAGAGATAGAGTGTAACGTGCCTGTGGCGGAGCTGGGAATGGAACAGAGCTTTGCATTCTAGAACTGTGTGCTAATCAAATGTTAAATTATTTGTCTAATGATGATGTCTGTTGTAAGCAGGAGTGGGGAGGGAGGTTTCTGCCAGTGTTTTCAAGCAGTCCAAGCATGGATTGCTTTGTACTGGCAGGGACAGAGAGCACCTTCCACAGCTTGTAATTGAAGGGCTTTTTACTGCCTCTCCCTCAATGGGGATGAAGCAGTATGAAGCTTTCTGGCTGTTCAGCCACAGGCTGTGCTACCTTGTGCGCTTAGCTGTACAAGATTATGCCCTACTGGTTACACCTATCGCCAGCTATCTTATCAAATCCTCGTCTGTGTTCCTGTAGGCACTGCCAAAAGAAGTAAGATCTTGTCACCAGAAGAGAGGAAGGTTGTGGCGTTTCATGAATCGGGTCACGCGTTGGTTGGCTGGCTGCTGGAGCACACCGAGGCTGTGATGAAGGTAACTCTGCTACCCACTGTTGTGCAATGCAGCCCGTCACTGGGTGGGAAGAGAGTCCTTTGGGGTTCCCCTGTCCAAGATGCATTAATTGTTTTGTGGTGCTTGTGTTGAATTCTGCTGCGTTACCCCGGCTTCCGTGAGCTTGGAGCTCTGAATACTGCAGCAAAATAAATGACAAATATAGAATGATTCATATATCTTTAAGATCATCAAGTCCAACTGTTAACACTGCTGAGTCCACCACTAAACCATATCCCTAAAGGATGCTGTGGAGACATCCATTGTTAGGCTGCATTGATGACAGTGGTGGTGCAAAGCTGATGAACCAGCTACAGGAGAAGCCTTGCAGTTAAAAGCCAACTGTAAAGCTGTTTGGAGCAACTGAGTCTCCTGGTGCTGCTGCTCCGAACAGGCACCTCCTCCAGGTGCAAAGCGTTGCTGTGTGCATGCGTGATCTCTTTCCCTGCCATGGCTTGCCAGCACGTTGCAGCCAGCGAAGCTGCCATTGCAGGAACTGCTCTCATGCTGATGGGAAGAGATGTGTTTTTCTGATTGGCACTCTTGTTTGTTTGTCTGCCTGAAGCTCCTCTCTATAGGGAAGGGCCTCTCTTTGGCACCCTGGGGTGTGTCCTCTCCCATGCACATCTCCTCCTCCAAACGCCTTGACACTGGGGGGAGGTGGGGAGTGGAAATGACAAGGGTGACAGTTCCCTGGCTCACCACCAGCAGCAAATTCACTCTGAATGACCTATTGTATAAGTGGAACTGTTGTTAATTACTCTCATTTACTGGGTGGGGGAAAATGGCTCTTATTTTTCTGAAGATATCGTATCTTTCTCCAGGTACTCTGTCTGTTTAGCTTATTTATACCCTCCAAAGCAACTCCTGAATCTCAGGATTTCACTGGCTTGCTGTTAAGGACAATTTCATTTTAATTTCGCGAGCAGAAAGTGCATGTCTGTACCCGTGAAGGCAGAGCCTTCAGTACAGGAATGGTAACATACTGCAGTCCTTGGCCATGTCTCTGTAGGTCAGCCTGCCCCATCACTCTGAACAAATTTCGCTGGGAATGCCGGCCACTTCCTGCTCTCCCCCTGCTGCTGTAGTTGGAAGCTCTTTTGTTCTCTGACCTGAGGCAGCCGCTCTGTGTTGCAGGTTTCCATAGCCCCTCGAACAAACGCAGCCCTCGGATTCGCTCAGATCCTTCCAAGGGAGCAGTACCTCTTCACCAAGGAGCAGCTGCTGGAGAGGATGTGTATGGCGCTGGGGGGGAGAGTGTCCGAGGCCATCACCTTTAACAAAGTCACTACAGGTGAGGAGCCAGACCCTGACACAGGCAGGTGGAGGTCGTGCTGAGAGAGCCTGAATTTCTGCACTTGCTCTGTCCAAAGGTGCTCTGAGCAAGAAACAGAGGTTCCCCACGCTGGGAAGAGCAAATGTCAAATTAGATGTTTTGATCTTGGCCTCGCATGGAGCTCTCATTGTTGGTTGCCACTGCGTTGTCTTACTTGTCCCAAAGCCTGAGGCCACAGATGGAATTACCCAGTGAGACTCGTGGCTTGTGGGAGGGCCTAGAGCTTCCTGTGCCGTGTTTCCAACTAGTTACACCCAAAAGGACTAACAGCAGGCAGTGGCTGACTACCAGTAGATGCACTCAGTTGTGCGTGGGTCCTGCAGTACGTGTAGAAAGGTCTGTCAGCAGGTGGAGTGTTCACCTCCCTGGGCTCCTCTGGGTCCTCTGGCCTCTCAGCTAGTGGAATGCCTGTTTGTGCAGGACATGCTTCTCTTGCACTCAGCTCAGAGCTGGCGAGCATCACATCTCTCTCTGTCCCGCTCAGGAGCCCAGGATGACCTGAAGAAGGTGACCAAGATAGCCTACTCCATGGTGAAGCAGTACGGGATGGTGCCCAGCATTGGGCAGCTCTCCTTCCCAGACCTGGAGAGTGCAGCTGGAATCGGTCGGCGCCCGTTCAGCCAGGGACTTCAACAAATGATGGACCATGTAAGACCACCCTTGGTTATATGTCCCGTTTGTTCTTTACTTCCAGCAGTTCAGTGAAAAAATGCAAGTAACTTGCACCCAAACAATTTGCGTTCTTCTGTTGGCCCTTAAGTAGTAAGTTTGAACAACTGAGCACTTACCTGTTGTGTTGCAGTGTATTAGGACTGGGCAGCGAGGCATTAGGAACAGGCAGAGTCACATATAGCTGTGAGTTCACCCCGAAAACACTGTGCTGCCTGAAGCTCCGGTGAGTGGCTGTGAAATACGCTGCAGTGCATAAAACTGACTCTGAAAGCTGCAGTCCTGATTCCAGTGTGGACAAGACGCTGGTGGGCTTCTGGGAGGCAGGAGGTGCAAATGTGACATTTGGAGAGAGGGAGAAATGCTTTGTGGAGGAAGGAGGAATAATCTGGGGAGACTGGGGGATTGTGGTGGAACTGTGGACAAATACCCAACTAAGGAAAGATTCTCTTGCGTGAAGTCTCTCCAGGCCCTCAGGAGTCCCATGGATATCTAAGCATGGCTCTGTAATGCTGTGTCTTAAAGTCTCAGTTGCACAATTTAAATGTTTTCCACTTTCTAGATCAGAGAGCCTATCTAACCGAAACGATGGTTCAGACTGACTGAAAAATGTGAGCCTGTTTTGACAGGAAGCTGAGCTTCATTACTGGGAAAAAAACAAAACAAAACAAAACAAAAAAAAAAAAAAAAACAAAAAAAAAAAAACATTGCCTTAGTTGAAAAGTCAAATAACTGGAAACAAAAAAACTCTGGTTCAGAAGCACTATAGTTGTGTTTCCCTGGGATTTGTGCTGAGCTGCATCTTTTGCTACTGGGCAGCCTTCTTAATTAGGCTGTGTTTCCCATCAGCTGGGACTACTGAAGAGTTGTGCTCATGCAGGCGTTTACTGTTCCTTATCACAAGTATTCCTCTGGCTTTTTTTCAAACGGTTTATCTGTATTTTCCGTTGATGGGAACCACTTTCTGCCTGGCTCAGTTTGCAGGTTCCATCCCCCGGTGTTCTCCTTGTTTATCCCCATTGTGTTTGTTGCCACCTATGTTCCAAATCTCTCTTCTTGTTACTACCTTCTAGGAAGCAAAAGTCCTGGTGGCTCAGGCTTACAGGCGCACAGAAAAACTCTTACTGGAGAACCGGGACAAGCTGCAAACAGTAAGTTGGAGTTGTGTGGGGGTTTTGTTTGTGGTTTTGTTTTTTTGGTTTGTTTTTTGTTTTTTTTTTTAACTGGTGTGTTTTGCCTTGCTACCTTCTGTGCTCAGTAGCTCAGCCGTTGCAGTGTCTCTGTGGTCCTAGAAAGTCTTACAGTGGGAGCGCTGGGGCTCGCATCATGAACAAGTGACTGTTTGCTGCATCTCCCCCAGATTAGGAGCAGGCACGGGGAGGAATGTGCCTTTTCCAACAGCGAGCAGTCTGCCTCCTAACACCAGCTGGTATTTGCAGAGTAGAGGAGTAGGAGTGCTCTGTGGAAGTGAGCAAAGCTAGGATTTGTGTCCCTACCTGCACTTCTCTGCTAGCCTCTTGGCAGTGTAATTTCCTGGAGAGCAGACAGTGACCGTTTTTGTGAAGCCTGCAAAGGCAGGAACATCCTTCTGAGTCCTGGAGATGTACAGGGATCAGGTGAACAGTTTCTGGCTTTGGTGAAAGAATATGGGACTTGTCACCTTGGCTGACTGGTGCTGGTCTATGCTTTCTGGTGACTCCAGGCAGTTTTCACCTGCCAGCTCCTTGATAACTCATATACCAAGGACTCCTTGTTGCAGAGGTAGAGCTTTGCCTCCTCCCCTTCGTGTCCCGACAGTCCCCTAGCCAGTCACCCTGGCATGTCCCCACCCCACTGCCAGGAGCCCTCTACCCATCGCTCCGGGCTGAGCCACGCTTAGGTTGCAGCACCCTGAGTATCTACTTGATCTTTCCTTCAGAAGTCAGGTCCAGAACGATCAAAATGACCAGGAGTCAACTTAGTGTTGCATGTTTTGCAAATAAAGCAATCCTTTTCCTTAAATCTTCTTTTTAAACAAACGGCAACAACAAAACCCCCTTCAGCTACTCAACTGCAGGCTTCCTGTGCGTGGTAAGGTAGCCAGAGCTTGCTTGCTCGGGCACCCTGGTGTTGGCCACATCACAGCCCTGTCCTCAGGACAGTGCCCTGGGAGTGCTAAAGTCAGGTGTTGTTAGGGGGTCTCCTCCCTGCAGGCCTCCTCTGTTCTGATGCTTTCATTCAACAGCAGTCAGATGTTTGCTAGAGGCTCATCGCAGAAAAACTTTTAAGCCAAAAGCATCTACAGAGTAAATGTTTCAGTCGCTAGGCCAGTGTGTCGCATCTTGTCAGCAGAACTGAGCAGTTCCAGGTTTGACAGAGACCTGCTGCTCAAGCGCCGTCCTTCCGCTGGTAGAGGGGCTGGAGAAGTCAACTCCTCTGGAGAGGAACTTCTGATCACCTTCAGCCCATGCCTGCAGGAGCAGACGGCTCTTTCTTACCGCTGTGTGTACAGGGGAGGGATGCGGGTCTGGCTGTGGTCTCCTTTGCTGCTACTTTGGCATCTTGGGGCTAAAGGTGCAGTGACAGCGGCAGGAAGGGCACTTCCCTCATTGTTCCTCAAGTTTTCTGACTCGCCGAATCATTCCCTAAAGCTTGCTTTATTGCCTCTAGTGTATTCCTGAACCAAACACGCTCTTACGGAAGGTGCTGGCAGCCTGGAGAACTTGGTGCTGGCTCCAGCAGTCCTTCGGGTGCCCCCGTCCGGGGTGCGGTAGCCAGGGGTCTGCTCCTCGCAGGCTGCAGCACGTGCTGTGTCTGGATGTTGAGGTCTGAGTTGAGCTGGTGGGGAGAGTTGAGATCAGTTCAGAGAGGCTGTTTTCAAACACCTGCGCCTCATTATGCCTTATTTACTCTTTCTAGCTGTCTCATGCCCTCCTGGAGAAAGAAGTGATAAATTACGATGACATTGAAGCTCTGATTGGGCCTCCACCCTATGGGCCAAAGAAAAAGATAGCTCCTCAGAGCTGGCTTCAGGCAGAGAGGGACAAGCAAGACACAAGAGATGAAGAAATGCCCCAGCAGCCTCCAAACCATGAGGAAGAGGAAGAACCACACCTGAGACCAGTGTGAAGCCCACTCCTGATGTGTGACGGGAGGACTCTAGAGGCTTCTTTTGGAGACAGACCCTTTCCCTTTTCAGCTCCAGAATCAAAGATAACTGAGCAGGGGAGCTCTGTTCTGCTGTTACCATAAAATGAAGGGATGGCTCTTTTAATGAGCTTTTTCCTGCAGGAAGGAGAACTCCTTAGGATTTTGAAATTGATTCTCAGCAGGGTGGTAGTGATTAAGAGCTGGGTAGGTCTAATCTGCTGGAAAGATTTTTTTTTTTTTTTTTTTTTGTACAGAGGAGCTGTGTAAGTGTTCTTAAGGGTGAAAGATCCTGTGGTGTCCTTGCAGGCCAGCTCTCGCTGTGCTGTGTGACACGGCAGGAGTGCAGGGCTGTCCCCGCCGGTGCCAGGATGGTCAGGGCAGCAAAACTCCTGCAAGGCTGAGGCGCCGTAGTTCTTGTGCAACTCCACTGTAACTTCGGTATCTCTGCTGCTGAACATAATATAGAAATTGAAAAGCAGACTTCAGTAGAATAAACTGTCCATAATGTGCTGCTGTGTTTGTAGAATATGTCAAGATGTGGATGAGTGTTTTGGCACATATGAAGCTAATTGCAGCTACGGAGTTGTACAGGACAAGGGCCGCCTTCTCCCTGGCCAAAAACTTATATTCTGTATTTATAGCAAGTGTCTCACAAGCAGCAATTGAGGGAAAACCTGTGTGCAGAACTCAGCCCCACAGGGTGATGTTGGAAACGGGGCATTGCAGAGAGTGGTTCCAGTTTGCAGGTTGGAAGACTGGCGGCGCTGCCGGTTCAGAGCTGGAGCGGCGCTGTCAGGAGCTTGAGCAAAAGCAGGTCTGTCCCTTGGGGAGCCTCGGAAAAAAGCCGGCAGTTCCTCTGGCTCCGTCCTCATGGCTTTTGCAAAACAAGCTGCGACGACGTAGTTGCCTGCCATTCATCAGGAAAAGCATTAAAATGATCCCGGTGCCTGGTGTGCTCTGGCTGGCTTAATCCCTGAGGCAAGATTAGCGTTTTGAGTTACTGCATGAGGATTGTCTGACCTGAGAGACTCCAGCCCAAGCCCAGTCTCTGACAGCTTTCACCTCCCAGCCCAGTCAGGCTGGAGCAGAGAGCCTCTCCGCTCCCCTCCTGACGGGGGGGGACGTTCTGCAGGGTGTCCTTGTCCCTGTCCCACCTGCCTACACGGAGCCTCCAGCCCTCCCTGGGCTGGCCCAGTGATGCAGTATATGAGTCTGCTTTTCAGAAAACACCAATGCTGGTGGGATGATTCCCTTTGCTTTCAGGGGCAAAAGTTGTTTTCTACATTTGGGTTGCTACTGCCTGTATTTTTATCTTTTTTTTTTTTCCAAACCCATTTGCTTGTTCACAAGTTCATTCTTTTAATTCACTTTTCCAGCAGCAGATGCAGTTGCAAGTGTTCTTTGATTTTTATTTTTTTTTTTTTCTAAAAGCCATGACTCTGTTCTGGGCTGCCTGAATAAACCCTTCGCCAGGAGGATTCGGTTCTGTGGGACGCTTGCCGGGACACTGCAGGCTCCTCGGTGGCTTCCGGGGTGCAGCCGTGCTGGCCAGTGGCCCGCAGAGGCGGCTGGTGGCCCCCCTGACCTCTCTCCTGCCCACCCCAAACTGGGGGAGGCGGCGGAGCAGGGGTGGATGTGGAGGCGGGGGGACGGTGTAACCCGGGGGAGCTGGAGCTGCCTCTCCCCCTCGGGCCGGGCCAGCGCCAGCGGGACACCGCTCGCCTCCCGTCCCGCTCGGTGTGCGCGGGCCCTTTAAGCTGCCGCCATCTTTACTAGGGGCGCGGTGAAGCCGCCGCCGATTGGGCCGTCCCCGCGACTTCCGGCGTCGCGCCGCGCCTCCGCTTCCTTTTCCGGTCGGCCATTAGCGGTGGCGGGAGGTGAGTGGGGCCGCGGGGGCGACCATCCGCCGCCATCCCCGGCCCGGGGGCCGGGCCGCGCCCCGGGGGGCTGCGGCGGCACCGGGGAGGGGGGAGGATCCGGGGCCCCGCCGGTCTCGGACGCCGCCTTTTAACCCTTCCCGCGCCCGCAGGCCGCAGCAGCCATGGCGCCCAGCCGCAATGGCATGATCCTGAAGCCCCACTTCCACAAGGACTGGCAGCGGCGAGTCGCCACGTGGTTCAACCAGCCCGCCCGCAAGATCCGACGGTGAGTGCCTCGGGAATCGGGGGGTCGTTCTCCCCCTCCCCTGCCGCTCCCCGGCCCGTCTGAGCGGCGAATCCCCCGGCTCTGCCGCGGGGTGCCCGGGCGGTGTTCGGGGGGGGGGGGGGGGGTGTCCCTGCTCAGGGTCCGGCCCTCCCGGCTGCAGCCAGATGATGAGAAATCTCCGGAATCGCTGCACCGCCGTGATGATTCCCTCGAACCCTGTGTGTCTGATGGCTGCGGCCGCGCTGAGCCGCAGGGCCAGCCCCCCTCCGTGCCTTTTGGGAGAGGTGCTGCCGGCCCTGCAGCACAGCCGGTAGGAATGCCGCCTTCCTCGTCGCCCTCCCGCCTTCCTCATCTCTCCCCCACCTTCCAGGAGGAAGGCCCGCCAGGCAAAGGCTCGCCGCATCGCACCCCGGCCCGTGGCTGGGCCCATCCGGCCCATAGTGAGGTGCCCTACGATCAGATACCACAAAAAAGTTCGTGCTGGCAGAGGCTTCAGCCTAGAAGAGCTTAAAGTAAGTACGGATATCCCAACCCGATGAAACTAGCTCCGAGGTTGAGGTCGTCCAGCCCTGCTTTTTCCGCATGTGGAAAACGCACAAGTGACTTGTGGAGGTGTCGGAGTGACACCGGCTCAGCTGGAGGAGGTGTGTCACAGAAAACACTGGGTTTACACTTTCTTTCTAGTTGTGGGCTGGGATGTAATAAGGGCGTGTCAGAGTGAAAGCTTGCTCTGAAAAGCAAACGTCGTTTTGTCTGGTCAAACTGTCGCTTAAACAGAATTCCATTAAAACCAGATTCTAGTAGAGCCCTAACCGAGTTTTCTAAACTCCTGGCAGCAGGGAAGGGAGACCGACAGCTTCTGCGTTAAATAACTTTCTTTGTGAAATGTGTTTTTGCTAATCCTGAAAGTTTTAGCCAGTGTGAACTTGTTCATGTTGTGGACTGAGTAAACCCCACTCGGCTTGCTTCGAAAAGCAGTAGAAGTAGTGCCAGGACAGGGAACTGCTCCGCCCGGCTTTGCTGAGCAGCTGTGGCTGTTTCTCACACAACAGCTACGAGTTGAAACCGTTCTCTGCGAGCTCCCCAGGTGTGCTGAGCTGATGAGCTGTTAAAAGCTGGATCGTGGTGGTCTGCAGGAACCCCCCACACAGCAGGCGGGAATAAATGTCAGTGCTTCCTGGCAGCCAGCATCCACAGCCGCCGCTTCTGTGTTGTTTCGTATCTAATTAAAACATTTATAATGGCAAAATTAGTGCGCTGAAGCAACAAAATGGTTCTTCTGGATGCCAAATGCTTCATTACTGTATTTTTCTTTAATTTTGGGATAATGGTGGAGTACCAAATGGCACTCAGGTGTTGGTCTTTAAACAGAAAATGAGGTTATTGTTTAAGGTGGTTACAAAAATTAATTCTTCGCTGGTGCTTCCAGTATTCAGCGAACCAGAGTTACCAGCCTGCTGACTTCATAAATTTCTGTCTCTTGTGTATCAGTTTAAATGTCCCCCTCATAGTTTCTCAGGGCTTGCACTTTGCCCTCCTGAGGAAATCCACCTGCAGAAATTACTGTAAGTTCTGTGGAACGTTTCAGTCAATAGAACACGGACCCCAGGGCGCCCTTTGCCATTGTCAGTCTCTCTTGCCAGACCCCCGTGCTGCCGGCGGGCCGCTCGGCCTCATATTTCTCCGTGGTGGCTGCGCTTGAACCCTTGTCTGGCTGACGAGCGGGGGGCTCCCGGCAGCAGCACGGAGGCGTGGGGAGCTGTCGGACGCTGACACTGCGTTCTCTCTTCAGCTGGCTGGCATCAACAAAAAATTTGCCCGGACCATTGGAATCTCTGTGGATCCCCGGCGACGTAACAAGTCTACCGAGTCCCTGCAAGCCAACGTGCAGAGGCTGAAGGAGTACCGCTCCAAGCTGATCCTCTTCCCGAGGAAGCCGGCTATGCCTAAGAAGGGAGACAGCTCTGTAAGTACTTGGCTGCTAGAATCATTTCACGGGGTCCATTTCTGGTTAGATTTTCAGAGATTCGGTCGTCAGTCCATCCCGGTGCGCACAGGCAATGCTCTCGAATGTTTTTCATAACATAAACCCTGTAGGAGCTTCCCAGGCGTGCACGTAGAGTCATCTTCCGCGGGGATCTCCAGGGCAGGGTGGTGTTTTGGGTGGACTTCCAGCCTAGAGACTGCGGGGATGCAGCTCACGTTGGGGGCTGAGCTCCTGGGGCGGTCTCTTTGCCGGAGCTTTGGTCGTTGAGCAACCAGTCGGGATTCTAGTTTACAAAGTTAATGGTCAGTTAATGGTCAGAATGGCTGAAAAATCTGCCTGGAGTGACTGTTGTGCTGTGGTGACAGCTGGGTGGAAAGGGTGAGGAAGGCAGGACAACCTCCGCGGTGGAGTAGCTCAGTGAACACCGTGCGTAAGGCAGTGCTGGAGGTTGTTGCTGTTGACACCCGGAAATGCTTTTTGCTTAAATCTCTCCAACATCCAGAGAATAGCTGGCTTTCCTTCTCTGTCCTCGGCTCTGCCTCTGGTAAATCCCTGCTCCCCGTGGGGCGGTGCGAGTCGTGACGCAGGGTGGTGTGCTCATCTGTCCAATCCTCCAGAGAGCGTTGGCACTGAGCTGCTTGGCCATAGGGCAGCCTCTAGAGCCCACCGTGCTCGGGGGGGCTGGTTCTCAGAACAAGGGAGGAAGGGGCTCGAGAATTTCTACCAGCAGGTACAGATACTTGCATCTGAAGTACTGTTTCAAATTTGTTTACTTGAAATCGCCCATCTCAAAGAAAACTTGGATCCTTTTTGTCTAATGCCATACTCTTAGAAGAAGCTGGAATTATCCTTAGAAGGAATTGCTGAGGAATGCAGTGGGTATCAAACTAAAAATGACAGAGTGAGATGTCAACGTTTTTCTAGCTGGCAGAACTCCTGAAGGGCTGCTGCTCCTCTGGCCAGCCCCGGGCTGATCGATGGCCGGGCAGAATGCAGGTTGTTGATGCGGCACGTCTGTGCCAACTATCCCTGTGGCTGCACGCCTGAAAGGCTGAATTCGTTACCAGTCAGCGTTAAATCTCGGGTCAGAGTTGTTAACAGGGTGTTTGAGCTGGGTGCCTGCGTACAGGGCATGTTTTTAACTGGAGTGTTATCCTCAGATGTTTTAAATAATGTTTTTTGTCCTCTTGTTATGTAGGCTGAGGAACTCAAGATGGCGACTCAGCTGACTGGACCGGTTATGCCGATCAAGAATGTGAGTGTAATTAAATCACGTTGTCTGCGTGACATAATTGAGATTCGAACTTCACAGGGTGGATTCTCGTCTCGCTGTTCTGCAGTTAAGGGTTGCTGTCTCCAGGCACTTCCCATCCTGGA